ATGGATATAATAATAATCCTTCCATTTGATATAGCGCTTTTCCTGTCTTCTAGACGTCTCAAAGCGCTAAGCGCTTAGATAAGGGTCTTGGCTGCCCAAGAAAGAAGCATTGGCAGAGGTGGACAATGTTATGAAAGTAGGGGGAAGGCAGAACTGGTCAAGACACGGATGAATGACTTGTACCTGTAGATTTTACCAGGAAAGACACAAAAAACGTGCCCCTCCCCCAAACATCCAGCAACTATTGTTTGAGCTCCAGATTTTTAACAAAAGTATTGATATCGGAGTGTAATCACACTCAGTATCTTTGTTTAAAAGTGGAGTACATATGGGTATTGATGTGTATTTGTTCACAATAAATGGATGGCACAGAGATGCCATCCTTCAGCCAAGACTCCAGGAGAAACTCTGTTTCATGTGGGAACTTTAATAACTATCTCATCAGGTAGCTTGGACCTCTGATGCAGGGGATGTGAGCACCACAGAGAGAACGAGAGCGAGAGACGCTGTGTGTAGCAGAGAGAGAGAGAGACCATGAGTGTAGCAGAGTGAGAGAGACCCTCTGTGTAGCTGAGAGACTCTTGAGTGCAGCAGAGAGACCCTGTGTACAGTACACACACACACACACACAGCCAATGAAGCAGAGAGCCCTTGTGTGCAGCACAAACATACATACACACAAAAACCCTGAGTGCAGCAGAGAGAGACCCTGAATGTAGCAGAGACCATTTGTGCAGTACACACACACACACAGACCCAATGTAGCAGAGAGCCATTGTGTGCAGCACAAACATACATACATACATATACACAAAAACCCTGAGTGTGGCAGAGACCCCGAGTGTAGCAGAGATCCTTTGTGCAGTACACACACACACACACACAGAGTGTAGCAGAGAGCCCTTGTGTGCTCTACAGCACACATATAGCCTGAGTGTAGCTAACTCACACAAACAGACCTTGACTGTAGCAGAGACCCTGTGTACTCAACAGCACACAGACACACACACACTCACACACATAGACCCTGAGTGTAGCAAACACACACGCGGACTCGGAGTGTACCAGAGCCCCTGTGTATAGCGCGCACATACAGAAACTGAGTGTAGTAGAGACCTTTTGTACTGTACAGCACACACACACACAGATCCAGAGTGTAACGCACATACACACAGACTCAGAGTGTAACCTATACACACCCAGACCCAGAATGTGACGCACACACACAGAGACCCAGGGGGTAATGCACACACACAGACCCAGACTGTAACACACACACAGACCCAGATTGTAACACACACACAGACCCAGAGTGTGACACACACAGAGACCCAGAGTGTGACACACACATAGACCCAGTGTGTATCACATACACAGATCCAGAGTGTAACACAAACACAAGTCCCAAAGTGTAACACACAACAACAACAACAAGATTCCATTTATAAAGCGCCTTTCAGGTTAGGAGGACGTCCCAAGGCGCTGCACAGTTGGGTCATGACCCGAGCAGGGGGGAAATGGTCAGGGTGAGGGGAGGGAAGGGAGGGAGCGAGGAGGGGGAAATGGTCAGGGTGAGGAGGGAAGG